TGTATCTTTATTTTTGTTCACGTATTTTCTTTAAAGAAAATAAACTTGGTAATTTTTTTTTTTTTTAACTTAAGTCTTTATTTTGTGTTGCTGTCTTCCATTATTCAATATCTTTTTGTGGGCCAATATACCACCCACAACACACTTTTCTCAATATGTCTTGATTTGAGCATATTTTAGTGATGCTATGCCTGGAAAAAAATTATTGAGAGATACCTTTGGACAATGACTTTGGACTATTTTCTACTAATTGGAGGAATGGAATTTAAAACTCACAATAATTTGAAATGGTAACTGATTATAGGTTGCTGGCTGGTGAAAATCACTATTCATTAAAGTTTTGTCAGGATGGATAGTCATTCAGACGGGAGGATGGTTTTAACAATTAGCATTTGCATCTAAGAACAACAAGATTCCAAAATGCCAAGTGGCCAACCAAATTTGGCAAACATGGACTTTGTGCTGGAAAAAAAAACAAAGTGTCACAAGAACAGTTTTTCCCTTGACACTGCTATTATTTTAACTACCTTCACTCCTTGGCAATGCTGTTTGTTTTAAAAAGTGATGATTAGAATTTTAATAATAAATAAAGATATAAAAATGAATTTAACTAATTAAGACATGCGTGTGCATCAACCTTAAACAATAATCTTTGTCAATTTTATTTTTCAGTCTTTATGATGGTCGATACTTGATCTATCTCTTACTGTTACATCCCCGGGCAATGCCGGGCTCTACTGCTAGTACATAATAAGATTGGGTTGCATATTTATTGGAAATTGTCACTATTTAGGTGCTACATGCTGGCACATAATGTCTGATAGATTCTTCTCAAGTACTATTACCTTGTGGAACAGATTTTTGAGAGGATGCTTCCCTGATCACAAGAATTCTAACCTTTTCACATTTAGGATCAACTGTTGTTTAACCAACATATCCTCACAATCTGCATTTCTAACCTCTTCCTCTTATTTTCATATGACCATCTCGTCACTCAGTTACCCTTTACCTTGAGTAACTGTTGGATCTTGTGTTGGGTAAACACCAAAAAAAAACATCACCCTGAAACAGTCATAGAAACTGTGATGTTACTATTCTTTGAAACTTTACCATTCATACTGACAGACATGAAAAAGATAGAAGACAAGACATTGTAATTAAAGACTACAATTAAAAGAATACAGCAGACTTGGACCTTCATGCTCACAAAAAAATGGTGTATCAAAAGGATGGTTTTTCCCTTGACACTGCTATTATTTTAACTAGCTTCACTCCTTGGCAATATTTATTGTTTTAAAAAGCAATGATTAGAATTGAAATAAAACCAAAACATATGATGAAAGTTAATTTATACATTTTTTTTTCTGTTCTTCTGGTCAACATGATCAAAACCAAACACTAACAATTTGTTTGGAAACCAACTTTAAAGAGACGCAGACAAAGCCTTCATCTTGTCGTCATATCTACACTACCAAGATTCCTTATTTGGTCTTTGATGTAATGAATATGCATACACCTGGGTTCCCCCTCATAGTAATATGATTGGCTGGTGTCAGCTATAAATACAGACTGATGTGGAGGTACATGGCCTACGCCTATTGTCTTCGCCTATTGCCTACGCCTATTGCCAACCACTACGATGAGGATCAGTCCATTGCAGTTACCTGCTAGATTGTCCTTTCTGGTTACAGTAGTCAACAACCACTTTGCTACTTCGAACAAATATATCCCATTCCGGGACATATCAGTCTTCCTCACCAACATCATTCTTTCTGACTGTTTTATTGACTTCAACTGCTGACAGGTTAGAACTTCACAGCTACGAGAGAACTTTCACTTTAACAAAGGAGATTTGGCAAACATGGACTTCATGCCCACAAAAAAACAAAATGTCAAAAGGACATTTTTTTTTCCCTTGACACCACTATTATTTTAACTACATTCACTCCTCAATAATGTTTGTTGTTTTAAAAAGTGATAATTAGAATTGGAATAAAACATAAATATATGATGAAAGTGAATTTATACATGTTGTTTTTGTTCTTGAGAATTTACAACAAAATTATTAAACACTATTTATTTATTAGCTTGTTTATTTACAAGAATAATTTTATATTTAGAAATTTAGAAAAATATGAGAACCAACTGTAATGCAATATTTATTATCTACCATATTATAAAGAAATAACTATAAAACAAATTATTTTATTCATAAATTTATCAAAATATCTGTGAAGAAGAGAAAAAGGTTTAAGTAAACACATAACTACAGTCAGTCAGTGCCATTCAATTCATGACTGACGAGGCAGATCTTTTCCCACAGGAGGTTGCCATTTCTTTCTGTGGTAGATCAATTGCCATCCAAGGCTATAGAACCTGGTCTGTCTTACTACTTAGCTGGGGAGAGAAGAAGAGGATTAATACCTTTCTCAATGGTATTAGCATGGAAATGAATGTAATGGATTCAACTGGAATTCTAACTCGGATCTCTGATTCCTCAATCTGAGCCGCTATCCATTACTCCACCATGCCTCCTACAAGCGACTGTAATTACAAATTTTGTAAAAAAGGTATTTTCCATGCATTTCTTTTATACGCACTTGCCACATAAATTTACTAAAATAGGTTGCAAGCATCTGGATTTATAAATTTTCATTATAATTTGACAACAAAAATGTTAAACACTATTTATTTATTAGATTTTTTATTTGCAAGAATAATTTTATATTTACAACATTTTAAAAACTAATACAATGCAATATTTATTATTTACCAATTTATAAAGAAATAAATATGAAAAACAATTTTTTTATTCATAAATTTATAAATATTTACTAAATTGTTCAATATGTGAATGAACTATAAGAAAATCCTTATTATTCCTAATTTTATAAAGTTTGAATCAAATGGCAATTAGCAGATGTTTTACCAAACATTTTAATAAATAAATTGTGTAAATAAATAATCTAGTAAAATTTTTTTATTATTCTTGTTGTCAGTTCCCAAGCACAAAGAATATCTATAAATTTCCTTTCATATATTTAAGTTTTATTACAATTCTAATCATCACTTTTGAAAACAAGGAGTGAAGGTAGTTAAATTAAAACCATTGTCATGAGAAAAACCATCCATTTGACACCATATTTTTTTGCAGGCATGAAGGTTTGAATTTTGATAACATCAGACAACAGTTTCACAGGATGACCAGAGTTAATAAGAAGCAAAAATGGAGAATAATTTGTCACTCGCAAAGATGCAGAGATGCTTTTGGACTCAAGATTGGAAAGTGAGAACTCAGCAGTTCCTGTCCAAATATGATAGCTGTACTCCATTTTAGGCATGATCTGGCTCCTGTAAAGGTAGAGGATAGCACAAGGAGTCAGGTACTTGCTGGAACAGTACAGAGAGCTGATCATTTTCAATGCATCTTAAGTGATAAATCATATGGACAAGTTCTAATGAGATCTGGAATGAGTTTGAGGCCAAGTAATCACTCAAGGCATGCGGCTTCCCTGAGCGAAACCATGCATTGTGATTGGTGTTAGTTTAGGGTCTGATCGGTGATGATGGAATGTAACATTTGGTTTTTGAAGCATTGAATGTAACCAGCCAATTTTTCTCTCACTGGAATGTTTGAGCTAGATCAGAGAATGTTACGTAAGACATGCTACAGCGTGTCTGGCAGGAGCTGGACTACTATCATGATGTGTGTCATGTCACAGGTGGTGTGCATATTGAACACTTCTGAAGCTTTGTGAAATCAATTATAAAAATCTAGATCCATTTGAATATCTTGTTTGAATTTTGATAAATAAATCTTTTATTGGTTAACATGGAGCCTATTTAATTTCATTTGCCTGGAACATGTAGTTACTCAGATATTCACATTTTAAATTATGTCAATTTAGGGGGAGGGGTCACCCAGTATTATGAGATTTTGTCTATATGTGCTGTTTGAAAGTCTTTCTACAATTATTTGTTTTAAAAAGTACTCTTTTGTAGACTTGTTTTTTGTTTTTTTAAAAAATGACCAAGAACAGCTCTTTTGAAATCATATGAGCAATAATGGAATAACTTTCATGCTACAAGATAATAAAGTCCTTTATCTTTTGCCGTGTTTCTGTATACAGAAAAACTTCCTATCACCAACTGAAAGTTTCTAGATAATTCTCCAATCAACTGAAGACAATCACAAAAAATTATTTGAGTAAAATAGCATTAAAATTATGAGTTGGCCAGCAGGTTTTCCTGATGTCAATCGAATTATCAACCTGAAAAGTATCCTTGCTTGTAAGGTGTATAAAGGTAGGCATCGATACCATTCACCCCAATGAATAAAAAAGTCAATATAGAATGCATGGACTTCAATAGACAATGACTAATTTTATAGATTAATACAGATTTTGCTAGGTCACACTTTTCTGCTTTCGGGGCTTTTGTAGGACAAGGTCTTTTTATTGACTTTGAAAATCAAATGCTAAGGGAGTATTTCAGTTTTCTCTACAAAGTCCAGATTTTTGGACCACTTCATCAGCATTCAGATTTAATGCTGCCAGATATCAAAATCTTTTATCTGATGTCTTGCTTCATTATACAGAAAAAATCCCTGGTGCCAACTGGAAAGTTTCAACAAGACAATAGTCTATTCCATTAATCAGAAAGTACAACACATTATGAAAAACAGAAAAAGGCCAAAAACAGCTGTTGTGAAAACATAAAACCAGTAATAGAATAACCTTTATCAGTACTCAGCTTAATGCTACACGATATCCAATTTTTCTTATTGTGTGTATTGTTTCCTTCTACAGAAAAAATCCTGTTGTCAACTGGAAATTTTAAGATAATGCTCCAATCCATTGAGGACAAAGCACAAAAAATTGTTTTATGACACTAACATTGACTGAAAGGTTTTCCTGATCCCAATCCAATTGGCAACCTATGTGGTATCCTTGCACATAAGGTGTATAAAGGTGAGCCCTTACATCACCTGCATATTCAAGCATACAACACTTGGAATTCCCAAGAGTTCACCCATCTAGGTACTGACCAAATTCAATGATGCTTAACTTTGGTGATCAAACAAGAACCAGAGCTGGAGTGAGAACTGTAAATAACATAATGATTTGCACAAAGAGGTCCTCTTACCATATTCAAGGTGTTAGAAGTGGCAAAACATTTCGAAAAACACTGATAGCCTTCATCAGCACTCAGCTTAAATCTGCCAGATATCAGAATCTTTTATCCAGTACTTTGCTTCCTTATGCAGAAGATATTCTTGGTGCCAACTAAAAGTTCCAAAAACAATGCTCCAATCCATTGGGAACAAAGCATAATAACATTGACATTATAAGTTGGCTGGCAGGTTCTCCTGACCTTAATCTAATTAACAACCTGTGGAGTATCCTTGCTTGTAAGGTGTATGAAGAAAGATGACAATACCATTCAACCCAATGATTGAAAAAGTCAATACAGAATGCAGGGCTTCGATAGTCAACGGGGAGACCTTGCTAGAAAGCAATTTTTCAGATTAATTTACTAGAAATAATGATTTGCAAAAATTGGTTGAATGCACACTGTTATAGTAATGTACCCACATACACATGGACTCTCCCAATTATAAATAGGAGCAGGTACTGCCTTTTGGAGAGGGAAGTTTCAAGCAGTCAGCTCTGACAGTTGGACTGAACATTCTTGCTGTAACACCCTCGTTTGTATATGTCTGTATTACTGTTTTCTTTTAACATATTTAGCTCAATTCCTCCCTTGTGTCTTTAATTCTGGCCCTAACAAGACTGCAACAAACACACACATGGAAAAAAAAGTGAGGGAAGGTAGTACAAGTCCAATAGGTTTACTAGACAAAACAACTTCACACTTCTCTCTGCATCTTGATCTCCAATATGTCACTCCTGGTCAGAAGCGAAAAGTGAACTCCCCTTGAATTATCATACCATATTTTATGCACCTGACCCAGCCAGCATTCAGCCAATGAACACTTAGAACCAGCCAATAAAAATGGCTACAATTGACAACACCACTTTCATCAATATAAAGTGCTGCTCGATTCACTGTCCATCCAAAGCTCGCCGATTCGCTGTCTCCACACTCCCTTACAAAACATATATGCGACTCTGGCTCTTTTGGGTAGCCAAGGTAAGTTCTTTGTATTTTTTTAAAAATTCTACAAAAAAGTACTTTTTGAAAGAAATGCTTGCATAAAAATTTTCTCATTGCATATTTATACAAATACTCATAATATACTGTCAAATTCATGAAATGTAGTCTTTATAAGTTGAAAGTTGAGCTGGTCTTTAAATATGCACTACACTGTACATACCATAAAATTATTGGTTGCTTGCTTGCTTTAACAGCATATCAAAACCTCTATGGGTTATTTCGTGCTGAAATCTAAATATTTTGTATACATTTTGTTTGTTTTTCTTTTAGACAATAATGGTTTAGTGATACAAGTCTTACTAATTAACCCATAGCTGGGGAGAGGAAAAGTATTTGCATGTAAGTGAATATAACAAACCCGACTGAAATTAGATCTTAGCTCTCTGATTAGCTATTTTGAAGCATTATCCATTACACCACTTGTACATCTAAGCTTACAGCAACGGTTCACACATCTTGACCCTCGAATTAACAATTTCCACTCTACTCATCCATGCTTACAGCACCTGGTGTTCTTAAACAGTCACCCATCTAGGTATTGACCAGGCTTGGCATTGCTTAGGAATGTACAGGAACTGATGTTTCAATGTGATGTGGCCATAAGCCTTCATAAAATGACATAACTTTACTGAGACCAATGACCTCAGCTCTAACATTGTAAATCTCATTTGAAACTTATCCTAAATACCATCAAATTCCGTTTCCTTAAGGGTTACAGCCACATTGTGTTGAAACACTGGTTCTCATATGATCAACGAAGTTAAGCAATGTCAAGTCTGGTCAATATCTAGATGGGTAACTGCTTAGTAATGGCTTGGAAATTGTTAGTCAAAAAGATGAGTTCCAATTTCCATTGGGCTTGTTATATTCACTGAGGTGCAAATAACCTTGAGAAATGTATGAATCCACCTCTCTCCACGTCTATGGATTAAATAGCAAAACTTTTATCACCAAACCATTATTATCTCAAAAAAAAAAAAAATTCTTACAATCTAAAAATATTTCCTGGCTTTAAATAACTTGCAAAAGGTTGATAAGCCGTAAAAAATGAATGAATTAATCAATCGATCCTTATTTTCCTTAACATTTTTTCTGAAGATTTTCCTGAACTTTCTACAAATCAATATGTTTTGGAACATTTATCCCATCACATATAGATTTACGCATGACACAGAGCTTCAATTTGCCAGATACAAGCCTATCATTTGTGCTGCTCTTTTTACAAATCATGACATACACTCTGAAGATCTCGCTTTCAGATAATTATATAGCTGAGAAGATCTGTGTTTGGATTTTGGATCTCTCCTCCTTTCTCTTCCTCTTGATATATATATATATATATATATATATATATTCAGTTTAAAAATTAGAAGATCAGTCAAATCCGCTACCTTGGTATATATATATGTATATATTATTTTCAAAATGGCTCAAAAGCAAAAGATTCATATAGCCTTTTCTGAAATTAATTTAAAAATGTAAGAACATTATTATTAATAAATAAAAATATAAAATAATAATAATAGTGAACATCATAAATAAAATAAAATAAAGCAAATGGCATTGGAACTTTGTTTAAAATAAAATAAATAATACCAAAATAATAAAATTTCTCCCAGCATGCAACAGAAAACTTTCCTATCTGGATTCTTTGTACCTAAAACCTACAATCTCATTATTTTTGCTACTGACCATCAAAGTGTCAAGACATCCATTTCTTCTCCTTGGAACCTTGCTTGTCATAAGACAAAATGACTTTCTACCTTTATTACATGCAACCTTAAAATGCGTATAACTAAAATACACACATGTCAGTACATAGAAATAAATAAAATTATATGATTTTAAATCATATGTAAGATGCTAGCTGATGGAGAAAAATTGTTTTGGATGACTATGTTGATTGTATTAAATTTAGTATAATATATAATTAATTTTATTTTTTTACTTGGATCAGTGGGAGATATATTAGTGTTTATGATTTTTTTTAGAATTTCTTCCTCCTGCTTATAGTTAGAATGTATTTGATTACTGTATAGTAGTTTGATATGTTTAAAGTCATATATATATATATATATATATATATATATATATATATATATATATATGGTGTTTATGAGTCTTTTCAGAATTTTTCCTTCTGCTTATAGTTAGAATGTATTTGATTACTGTATAGTAGTTTGATATGTTTAAAGTGTATATATATATATATATATATATGGTGTTTATGAGTCTTTTCAGAATTTTTTCCTTCTGCTTATAGTTAGAATGTATTTGATTACTGTATAGTAGTTTGATATGTTTAAAGTCATATATATATATATATATATATATGGTGTTTATGAGTCTTTTCAGAATTTTTTCCTTCTGCTTATAGTTAGAATGTATTTGATTACTGTATAGTAGTTTGATATGTTTAAAGTCATATATATATATATATATATATATATATATATATATATATATATGGTGTTTATGAGTCTTTTCTTTTTTTTCCTTCTGCTTATAGTTAGAATGTATTTGATTACTGTATAGTAGTTTGATATGTTTAAAAGTCATATATATATATATATATATATATATATATATATATATATATATATATGTGGTGTTTATGAGTCTTTTCAGAATTTTTTTCCTTCTGCTTATAGATAGAATGCATTTGATTATGGTATAGTAGTCTGATATGCTTAGAGTTATTTGATGGCATATTATGTTTATCTTTATTTATGTTAATATTCCCAATAGCTTGTCTAATTTGTTTATCAGCGATGTAATTAGGAAAGTCATTATTAATGAGGATTTGGTTAATATTTTTTAATTCAGTATAGAAAACCTTTCTTGTTGAAGTTTGCTTTTGCGCAGTTTATTTTGCACATATAATAGTTATTTAGTAATAATTAGGACATTCACTTTTATGGTTGAGCGTGCATGTGTTTATGCTAGTTGTTTTTTTTTATATGGGGAGGTAGTAAATGTATTATTATTAGTGTCTATCAATCCATCAAGAAACGAGTTTATATATGATAGTAAAGAAAGATTGTCCGTATATAATATGTAGATATGATAGGCCAGTGAAAAAAAATTTGAGATGAAAAATAAAAAATTAAAGAAAGTGGGACTTTATTTTACAGGGAATTTTTTTTTCACATGTGTTATATTACCAAAGAGATCTGATAGTTTGGGCCTAGTTGTTTGCCACAATTAGGGTCATAGCTTGTTTATAGGGTTATTTTATTTCGTCTCCTTGAGAAAAACACAGGCATGTCTTAAAATTTGTATTTTTAAAATCCCTCATCATGCTTCTCAGTATTATTATTTTTGCTATATTTATCTCTCAAATTTCTTTCATCAGCCTATTAAATCTACATATATATATATATATATATATATATATATATATATATATATATATATATATATATGTTCTTTTATAGATACAAGTATTTAAGTAAATGCTCTGTTTATAATAAACAGTATTAAATAACATTTACCGCCTGAATGTCCGAGAAATTTTCTTATATAGAAAATATTCGTCCTTTGACAGATTCAAACTGCATCCTATAATGAATCGTCATTTACGCTGACGCGCCTAACCTCTCGGCCACAAAGGAGCGTTAGGTAGGCAACGAATTTACTGCTTATAAACTTCAATCTTGGTAAGAATCTTGCATATTCATAACTGCTCTCATGTATCAAATGTAAACAAATGACGTCATATATTAAGAAATGGACAAAGTCTAAAACAATTTATTTATTAAAGACATTTTTTATGTTTAAGTTTCTTTTTATAGATACAAGTATTTAAGTAAATGCTCTGTTTATAATAAACAGTATTAAATAACATTTACCAGCCTGAATGTCCGAGAAATTTTCAGAAAATATTCGTCCTTTATTAATTAATTAATATTGTAAAATA